TTTTAAATATTACTTTAATTCTGATTAAATTTAAAAAAAAAAAAAGTTAAATTAATTAATTTTTCGCTTATTTTATAGGAAAAAATATATAAATTGAGTTAATAATTATATACAGCGCTAATTTAATTGATTTAAATTATTTATTATAACAATATTTATGCCTTTATAGCTACTATAATAATACATATGCAATAATGTATGAGCAACTATTGTATAGATATTTATGTGCAACGGTAATTATGCTACTATAGTTATTACAGTAGCTTACTGTTGCGTTGTTGTTGCATTATTGTACTGTACGTGCCAGTATAGATACTTATATGTCTACAATTATATATCAATAACACGTGTTACTACACTGCAACAATACATATGCTATTGTATGTATTTATACTACTATAGCACAATTTTATACTTGCTACCATAGTTATTTATAGTGCTATAATGCAACAATATATGTGCTATTATGAATATTTACTCTGCTGCAATGCAACAATTTAAATTCTACTATAGTTTAACGTATTGTATTATACTACTATAATACAATAATTTATATGCAACTATAATGCAACGATATACAGTCAGATATATGTATTTACGTTGCTACAATGAAACAATATGTGTGACAACACAATACAACAATTGATATGCTATTGTAAGTACTTATACTATCGTAGCACAACATTATATGTGCTATTTACTTACCTTTGAACAATGACAGCTAACGGGAACATAAAAATGGACGTTGTACATAGGTGGGCGTTATTGGAGGTTCGACTGTACTACTATAATATAACACAAACATATACATCCACAATATAACAATATTTCACTATTGACGCTACTGTAGTAACATATTATTCCTATTTTTGTGCATAGAATAGATTCATGCACTACGGTTGCATGGTAATATGGGATGATTATGATGATTATATACTTTAACAATAATATTTAATATGACACATAAGCTAGTTTTATATTATAGCTTACATTAAACATAGTATACAGATTTATTTACTGTAAATTACTTTACCCACAAAGAAACATAGGTTTATTTGTAATTATGATAATGATGCATATATCAGTATCTGATATACTGTTTAAGTATATCTTACGGATATTTTTAGAGACTATAGATTCTAAAAATATATATATTTTTTCTGAATTTTTAGATGAATGTATTTCGATGGCTGTATATATTATTCATACTTTATACACCTCTATTATACATATTTATAAACAAAAAGTTGCATAAAAATGTACTGTTGAAGGACATTCAGTAGTGGTTTAACTATGGAAATTTAAGAATGATTTAGACGGCTCATTATTTGCTTAGAAGTATATTTGCTAATAATATGAAATTTCTAAAAAAATTTAGTTCATAGTACGAAATTTTATAGAAAGTGATATGTTTTGATAGTTTTTTCACTGTTTGAATTATTTCTGTGTGTTTTTGACGAATTTATGCCTTATATAAGCATATTTAGTATATAAAATTCATCAAAAACACGTAAAAATTACTGAAAAAAAATTAAAAATTTATCAGAAATCAATGTCAAAAACACTACTTTCTACAAATTTTAGTACTTATTCGATACTAATTTAGTTTATTTGAAGAATTTATGGATTAAATTAGTTTACTGAACATAAAAATTTATAAAAAGTTCAATATTTATGAAAAAATCAACGATCAAAAATACTAATTTTTAGGCAATATTTTTTTTTTACCAGAAAGTCTTTATGAAATACTCGATTTTTAACAGTTTAAAATACATTACAGTAATAACTTTACTGTATTTTTTTCTCACTGACTTTATTGATCACTGATTAAAATACTGATTTAAATATAATTTTTAAAAAAAAGCATAGTTAGAAAGTGATTTGCTTTTCTACGATTGCTGATAATGCAAATCAGTTTTAAAACTGATTTGCATTATCAGCAATAACACCGGCAAGAAGTATGAAAGTTTAATTACGATTCAAATACTTTTCATTATGTCGTCAATTTATGCAAATTTCTAACATAAATATAGATTTTACAAATACGTGTGCTGGGCTGTGAACGGCTCACGTATTTGTAAAATCTAAGTGACTCGTACAACATGGAATTCATATAAAACGGGATAATCAAGTGTTATAGGGGGTCGACTGTAGCTTGTCAGTGTTTAGACACGTGTCTTGCAACGACATTATCGCGTAAACAGTTAATTGATGGATCATTTGCTATCAAATTAATAATAATTCAACATTTTGTTAATGAGAATCTCTAAATACTTCTAGATATAAAGTGATTTGAAGACTGACACAGAACAAAGCCTATGAAGTAAGACGATCGAAATATCAAACAGGTTTTGCCTTTAATTCATCACAAGTAAAATCGAAGATTGCAACGTTTACTACATTTCACTTCCTCCAAATTAAAAGTAACAAGAATGCAGGTAATACACTATTATAACGGTAATTTAAATCCTTATAATTCTTACATTTGCAAATAATTGTTGACATAAAAAGAAACGATCTATTAGTTATTTCCTACTACATCAATGAAAATCTTTCTACTGAAGAACTTTGCTATGAGAATTTACGTGGAGAAAGTAGTCAAATGGCATCACTTGCAATTACGGAACGAAATCAGTGGCCAATAGACGTCTTGTCAAGTATTTTGCAGTAAGTATTAATAAATAAAACAACCAAGAAAACAATTTTTAAAAACTTTTATTATTACAGGAAAAGAGAATATATGAGAAACCTGTTAGTAAGTGACTGTTTGCATTAATAAATCAGATGGAGAAAGAAGATTCAGAAAAATATTGCATATGAAGAACACTGTTGCAGATTAGTGGCTTGCAATCAGTGGCAACAACAGAACAAAGAGGAGTAATTGCATCAAACAATAGCAGATAATACCAGAAAACCATCTTTATGTGAAAATACATATTTTTTATCAACTTGTTATATAATTGATGACATCTTTTAATCGTGACAATTTAATTAGAACGTGTAATTCTTCTGATGTGGCATGTAAATTTATAATGTATGTTTTTCAAATTTATTCTATACCATGTTCTTACAGTTGAATATCCTATCTCAAAAGTAAATAAAATGTTCTATATTAGTAAACGTGCAGTGTTATATTCCGGAATATTTATATATAAAATATTTCACTTGCCATTCTTATCAGAAAAAGTAATCACAAAATTGTTTTTTGTTACTTCAGTCGTAAACTGAAGTACACTTAATTTTAATCAGCTATTGATAGAGGATTGTTGATGGATCATAATTGTGAGATTGCTGTTGAACTTCTTTTAAAATTTCCTTAAGAAAACTGGGACGACTTCTTCCCAAACTAAATCTATAAAAAAAAAAATGGCCTTATTTATCAACCTCCTGAAAAAAACGTTCCCATGGCATCCTTACTTTTAGTACATTTATAATTGGCAAAGTTTTCTGAATACATATTTCAAATTCATTTAGCAATTATTGTTTTGGTAAAATTATCTGAAAACCTTGCACAGTTCTTCAATATTCTCACAACTTTAATGTTACACTGTTCACAGCCTGGCACACTTACAAATAAGTGTGCCGGGCTGTAAACAGCTCATGTATTTGTAAAATCTAAGTGACTCGTACAACATGGAATTCATATAAAACGGAAAAATCAACAGTGTTATAGGGGGGGGTCGACTGTAATAAGTCATACAATATATTATCCCTATCGCATAAATGATAACACTTAAGTTGTAAGTGTTTTGTGTAATGTTTTGCAGAGTTTATCACCTTGATTCTATTATAACAAAATAACACATTTTGCCAATACACTTTTTGTTTCATGCAGAAAAGAAATTGTGTAAAGTNGTAATAAAAGAAATCTTAACATTAATTTGTAAATTGTAATGAGATGAGCTTCGTTGCATGGCAGAATAATTTATGAAGGATTGCTATTTTGTACGCACGCATTTAACATTTTTATACTGTTACAGTAACAATATTTTTAATATAAAGTTTTAAATATGTTGCTGCAGGCTTTCAAAATATAACAGGATGCTTTCGTGATGCTATTATTTTTTGTAAACAGAGTTTAGAATAATGTTATATCACTATAACAATAAAATTTTTTGATATGTATGATTCAAGTGTTTTATTAAGGAATAGGATGCTCATATTTTATAAAGAGTGTAGTATATTACGCTACTGTACAACACTGTAATACTATATTATAGACTATACTATACTACTATACTGTACTCCATACTATATTTTATGTTATACTATACACTGACTGTTATATTATACTGTAAACTATACTACTAAATCAATACTACTTAGCAGTAGTTATATGAATTTACGATTTTATGCAAGTACTTTATAATATACTGTTAATCTTTTATGAGTCTAGCATTTATTGATGCTACTATAGTAATAAAAAATTCGTATATAAATGTACTGACGTTAATAATACACACAAAATAATAGTAATCGTTAATATAATACAGTATTTTACAAATTACTTTGCTTCAGAGGTACTGTAAAAGTAAAATACTAATATAGTAACAAAAATTATTTTGTAAGTTTACAGATACGCTGTAAATTCCTTACAAATAAAGAAGTGCTTATAAGATTAATATGAATCAATGTTGTTACTTATAAGATGCTGTTAATTTTATCAGCATTAATTCATGCTTCTCTTGTAACAGCGTTAATTCATACTACTATTGTAATAAAAATGCTACTGTATAATTCAAAAATAAACAACAAAGTATAACAAAATGACTTATAAAATGCTGTCGAAATCAACAGTACTTTATAGATAACAGCATTGTTTATACTACTATAGATGCAAAATACTACTACAGTAATAAAGCCAAAAGAAAATCCTTTCAAAAATATCATTTACAGATAATAATTTCTGTAAAACGAATTTGAATTGATCACGATTATAGGCCATATAAATATATACACTTCATATATATATCTTTGCCTTGAGGGAAGGTTTCTTAAATTGAATGTACCCACTCTTCTTACATGTTTCTCTATATATTTTTTATGTTTATAGAATTATTTACAATATATACTTCCTTTATAAAGATAAAAGAACATAAAAAATCCCCAGATTTTTTAGAATCGTTCAAAAAAAAACTGAGAAACTATCTGGTGACAGTAAGATGCAAATGCTTTTAACTGTTTAGTTTATGAGCTTGAATGGCGTGTGGGTTTTGTTTTTTGTAAAAATGTATTTTTTTAGAGGATTTCTTTATTTTGGTATAACTTCGAAGATGATTCAGCAGACAATTTGTGAGATCAGCTTTAAGAAAAGAATGAAAATTATCGATTAGGATTGAAAAAGATATAGTTGTAGATGTTGATAGAATGGTCTAGGATCAGGTATCGATACAGATGAGAACTTGAAATGAGCAAAATAAAATTTCAAATTCCGAATTTTCTATTGAAGTTTCTTTTTCTTTTTTTTCCAAATTAAACAAATTCAGTT